ATAAAAACTCACCCTTCACAGATGATTGGGCTTTAGACGCCAGCTTTTAAACACCTCTGAGGAACTCATAGTTCACTCGCTGGCTAGTCTTCTTGGACGACACTGGTTCTCTGACCGAATTTCCTAGCAGAACTAGCACCTGGGGTGCCAGGGCAGGGCTGCTGCTGTTGTTAGTGCAGTCCAGTGGGTTCGGCGTGATGGCCACACACAGTGGAACTGCTCCTTGAGGTTTCTGCGACTACAGCTCTTCATGGGAGCAGACAGGGCAGCTGGTTGATTTGAACTGCCAGCCTCGGGGTTGGCAGCTCAGTACTTATCCCGCAGCACCACCAGGGCCCCTTACGCGCATCCATCGGAACCAGGCTCCGCCCAGCCCTGCGCCTGCATCACAGTCATTGCCATGTGAGCGCACGGTTGCAGCCACTCTGTCATTCCATCTTGCTGAGGACTTTCCTCTTTTTCGCCAACCCTCCACTTTGCTAAGCATGCTCTCCTTGTCCAGGGCTGGTCCCCCGAACGACATGCCCAAAACATGTCAGATGCAGGAACACTCCTCTCTAGCGAGGGTCCCCTCTGAACGGAATCTCCTTTTAAGCCCGAGTCTCTGGGTGGCGGGTCAGCAGGGGCGAGTTGCTTAGTCTTCTAGGGCCGGTGCCACACAGTGGATGGCTTGTAGAACAGCGCTGTGTCTCCTGGCTCTGAAGTTTAGAAATCTTGACTTAGGGTGTTGGCAGAGGCTTGTCCACTGTGTCTGGTCTTGGAGATCCTTCCTTCCTCCCTCCCTTCCTTCCTTGTCGTCCAGCTTCTGGAAGCCTTGGCGTTCCTTGGCTTACACACAGATCCTTGTCTGGCCTCTTCTATTTGTCTCCTTGTCTCTCTGTCTCTTCTTATTACGAGGACATCAGTCATGTAGGATTAAGGTCCACTCTACTCCCAGACGACCTCTTGTTAACTGATAAGACCCAATTTCCCCAAACAAGGACATAGTCACAGGTACAGCAGTTAGGTCTCCACCTGCCTTTTGGGGGGGGATACAATTCAGTCTATAACAGAGGGACTGTTTGT